GTGCTCAGACGTTACTCTCAAAGGAATTACTTCTGTACAAACCAGCTTAGTGGCCGGCGCTGCTGTTTTATTTGGTTTAAGGGAACTCATTACGATAAAGTGCGAAAGGCTAATGTTTACCTTCGACAAACACTAAAGCTAAGGATAGAAAAATAATGTAAAAACGAAGATACAAGATGCTACCCGAGAAAGGAGGACAGAGAAAACACAAGGAGATAAATGCTGCACAATCCTACCTTGACCTCAATGAAGTCTGGTTGGCCCAAAGCGATGAGCTCCGAGTAGGCTTGCATCTCCTCCACGTTCCAGGCCTTCACCAGCGTCAGTCTGTACACTGTCCTCTGTCTCTGCATGGACAGACGGGTGTTATCGATCAATGCAAGTTGCAGGCATATAAATGACATTGTTGTAACAGCAACGCGTTGTACATTTAATGTGTTACACAAACACTTTTTCAATATTCCCCTCCTAAACCAAAACATTCAATAGACATCTGATATGCATTAATCCAGTCGTTCACATATCATCAGTGTGAAATTGGAAAATTTAATTCAAGTAGCAGCTTGCTATTGCTCAGCAGATTCTGAGGCAACACCACGTCTTTGTGACACTTGTATAGATTTTATGAGAAAACCTTCATCTTTAGGATATGTTTGACAGCTTCTTGGGCACTGCCATTAATCAGAATTACATGAGTTGTCTAAACACCTGTCCAGCTCACCTTTTCAACTCTGACATGTGCTGTACATACCATTCACTCTAATCAGGGAAGACAAGCAGACATCCCCTGGCAGGCATTAGTATAAAATGCTTATGATTTCCATATTCAAACTGTAATTTCTTCACTTTTGCTCTTGACTTTTTTAGCACCGATAACGACAGTTTGTTGTCGCTAACATCTGTTCTCAACGGGCAACACAGCAGCGCACAGATGTCCTGTCAGCTACCTACCTTCTGTCTAAATTACAACAGTGGATAGTGTGCATGTGTTTAGGAATTCTCAAACCATTTTCAATACTTTGTGTACTACAAGTACAGCTGCTGTCGGAACTGTCCACAAAATAATGTTACTTCAAGGAGAGGGAACTGTGTGTGGACTGGACAAAATTTAAAATGAGCAACAACAAAAGATGATGAGTACTTGCTTCAGCATGATTCATATGAGCAGAGGGGGTTGAACTTTTAAAAATCAACAATTTTCAGGAGCACCACACTGCTGATTTCCTGTTTCTGTAGCAAATTCTTAAATTTTGCACAGATGCAAACATTATAGAACCACAGATTATAGTTTGCATTCCATCAACTGCAGGTTTTGAATGCAGGCCTCTTTTAGATTCAGATTCACTTTATAGTCATTGCAACGAATACAACGAAAGTAAGGTGCAGGCCTTTCAGAGCAAAAAAAAAAATAATAATAATTGTAAACAACTATATACAACATAATATAAAAGAAATATATATTTTTTAAAAGCTATATAAAAAGAAGAAATTCAATAATAAGCACAAGCACAGTGTATATTGCACAGAGTGTATATTGCACAAGTAGTGGCGGCTGCATATTAACAATATATTGCACTTATTACGATAAAGAGGCATTTATGGCTCTGACAGCAGTTGGAAGAAGCTGTTTTTCAGTCTATTAGTCCTGGTTTTGATGGCCCTGTACCGTCTGCCCGACGGCAGTGGCTCGAACAGGAAGTGGTCTGGGTGGTAAGAGTCCTCTTTGTGCTATTTATGTACAGTGCAGCTTTTTGTTATGCAAATAATAATTTTTGGTGAACTTATTAAAAAGACATCAGGTTAGATTACATATTGTCAAATGCTCACATACAAAAACATGTTAGTTTATGGAGATCAGTAACAAAAAAACTTGACCTGCACCTCCTGGTGATTTAACCTTCCCCGGATAAATGAAAGTACTGAAAAGGGCCAAGGATTCAGGCTACTGTTAGTATACGGCAGGCAAAAGTGGACTATTGGCAATGTGATGGAGAGGAAGAGAAACAAGGGAAGACAAACTGAGGAGAAGAAAGAAACTGGATGTTCAGGACAGATGACATGACAAATGCTAAACAGAAAGAAACAAATAAATGGCAGTTGGAGACGAGAATGCACTCTTTCCCTCACTTCCCTCTTGGACTGGAAGGTTATCTGTAACATTAGGTCCTTTCAGCCCAGTAGGGAAGGGGATAATTGGCCAGTAAAAGCAGGGAGGTGAGGTATTTCAAGCTGCCTCCATTCCAAATCTGACACCGAGGCACAACTCTATCAATCCCCAGCGCACTGGCAGGGGAGGCCAGGTGGAGGAGAGGAGGAGAGTTGTCAAACAGAGAACAGAGAGGGATAAGCGCTCCGGAAGGATGGAGATAGAGCCAACCATGAAATGAAGACTTAGGAATATGGAGCTAAGAGAGGGGAGGGTGATGGCAATAGAAACGGGATATTTTTGGAAGTTGCACGCAAGCAAACCGCACTATCACAGGGAGGTGTACATATGCAAACACACACAGACAGACTGAACCATCGTAATCATGATAATCACATGAAGCGATGATGCTAAATAATGCTTGTATACACACATTTCTCTGGTTTGGTTGGTTGTTGTCGTGTCAATACAAAACTTTCAGTCCTAAAACTTCACTGACTTAAGAGCTTGTTATACAAATGCAATATTCAAAGCATTTATAAAATATGCACAATGCAGGATAAGTGCTCTTCATTTAATTCTATCTGAACTTGAATGTACTCCTAACAAAAGCGACACAACAATTCAAATTACCTAAAAATACACACACAGGATATTTTCATCCCGCAGAGAAGTTCAGCGGCTCCCTATAGCTGATGTCTTTGCAAATAATTGTTGCTGACATTTTCACAATACAAAGTTTGGTGTCACTCCCAGCATGTCTAACAAGCGGTTTGCACATGATCCTGCTGAGCCAGGGAACCCCGATATCATTAGACATTTCTGACAACTTCAAAAGTAATTCTCTAGATTGATGGCTCCTCAGAGTGTCAGACCGTGAAGCCGTAGTCAAAAATAATCAAAACAGATTCCGGGGAGTAAGCAACAAAAAGTGCCAGCAGGCAAAAGTGTCGCTCTCTAGTCCTGTGGGAATTTGCTGTCACCCACTTGGCCTAAGGTGGATTACCCTTTAGTCACTCAAGAGAGTGTGAAAACAAGTGATGGCAACACTCATAATTACCAGCATCCATGCAAACAGTTGCTGTGTTGTTCTGCTTTTGCAACGCTGAGAGAAACTGAAAATGTTAACTTCGCAGGGGTTGGCATTTATTACAAGGCCACTGATTCATTTAATTTTAAGAAGTTCCTGTTATTTTGCCCACCCAAGCAGTTACCTCACATTGATATTTTCGTGTTGGCGTGTGGTGAAAATGGTGATCTCGATGCCAATTAGAGTGCAATGATCCATCACTAGCGATTTGCCTCAAACCGCGCAGTCACCAACACCTCAAGCTGAGTGTGTAATGAATTTATCATTGCTCGCTAAAGAATTAAACAATGGGGAAGCGGGCTCGTCACATATAGGTGTAATGGAGGCTTCCTCTGAGAGGCTTTAAAACCCACATCTTTCTCAAGGTCGTTTGGTGGTTCACCGAAGCGCCTTTTTTTTTTTTTCCACTGGCATTTTACAAAACACACTAACAGAGACGACCGATTTAGTCAACAGCCTGGCCTCTACAAGCAGGCTGTGATAATGGACTTTTCTCACAAATGATGAAAAGGCCTGCGAGGCTACTGAACTCACTTTTTAAAACTGTTCCAAGCGTATCTGTGGACACGGATCCCGTACTTATTAGAAATGTACACCTTTAGATGTTTTTTGTGGGCGCATCGGTGACAGGAATAAAATAAAAAGCCACCTTTCCACACTTGAGTTAAGTGTTAAAGGCTTGAAGTGCTGGCTGTCGTTGAGAATTGGTATATACATAATAGGGCATCTCGGTCTGTGGTTTCTGAAAGGATCCAATCAAGACTGCAGTTTTAATCAGCTGTTCTGACTTACTCAAACTAAAAATAAAAAAGACGAGTCTGCACAGTAATCTGGCAAATCCATCAGAGGGTAAGCTGGAGATGAGAGACTGCTTTTGCTGTTCAGAGTGCTTTTTTTTAAGGTGAGGATGAGTAAGACAAATGAAAAGTGACCAGAACATGGAAGGTTTGATATCATTTAAACATCAGAAATCCCCCAAATCTGCAGATGTATAGAAAAAAAAGAAACAAATAAAAAGAAATATTGGGGGTCTCAACCTCAAATCCCCAAGTCTTATTAGTTATTTTCATCTGAACTACAGGTCCTTCATATAGTCACATAGATAACATGCAGCATCCATTGTCTGCTAATCAGCAACCACATATCCCAAAGACAGTACCTTGCATAAGCTTTAGCATTTTTCTGTGAGCTATAAGAGCAAGAAACACTTAAAAGCAAAACCGTGGTGAGAAGAAAAGCTGTAAAATTTCAAGATGATGCACCCTAGTTGTGACTTACATAACGAACGTCATGCATAAAAAGTGGTATCTTGGAAACTTTGGCTTGTTTTCCTACTTTTGCCAAGTTACACCCACTGTACCCCAGGTCCTCTGTAATCAGGTAGGAAACTAGCGTCTCCTTAGTAAATGTAAACCTAATGCAGGGCTTAGTTAGTGAATAAAATCCATCAGTATCTATAGGCTTTTGCAAGACTTGCATATCTTTGATAAAGCAAGATAAACAATACGCATTACAAGTGAATCTGAATGTCTGTTTCAAAACTTGCAACACATGCATTACTCTCAGGCTGAAGTTAAGCAAAGTTTATCTCAGATGCTTATTAGCTGACGGTAATAATGCTGAAAAATGTGCTGGAAGCTTCCCATTAATCAACAATAATGCCAATATACCCAGTCATAAAATTAATACAAGTAATTTTCAAGGGAGAATTACTTCTATATTTAATTACAGACTGAATTGAAGGCTTGTGTTGCCCAAAATAATCAATTTAGCACTATCGCATTACAAACTCTAGGTAATTAAACAGACTTGATCAAAGTTTATGCAATAAGCAATTCAAACCTGGAAAAGCACAATAACACGTTCTTTATGGGCACTGAAACAATAACAGAGTTCCTGTTTGCAGCAATGTTGAGGTTCCTTTAATTGTACAGGCTGTAAAAGTGACACAGCCCTCAATCATGAAAACTGTTATTGTTACCCGACAGTGTAAAACTGATCATTATCATCATGTCTGCTAACAGCTTTCGCATCTTTAAAACTCTCAGCTTTCCTTTTCTTGTAAATGTCAAGCCCTAGTTTCTTCACATTTTCCATATTGCCACTGCCCAGCTATTGTACCCAACACAAGAAAAGAGTGCAAGCAGCGCTGCTACATATTTAATGTAAATTAGGACAACTCTGGGAGTTTGATCTCACCAAAGAAGTTTCAGACAGGTACAACAAGCCAACTTTAATTCAGAGAAGAGTGCAAAGCAAGTGCAAATCTGCTAATAATACATTATTTATAATTAGGATTGTGACGCCACACTGCAAACCTAAATGCATCTTGTGGATGACACTACTTGTACTCACATATGTCAACACCGTGCCACGATTTTAGGCTTCAAAAAAAGCAAATTGGCTCAGGGCGAAGCTTACCTTCTCTCCCAGGGCCTTAAGGCTGTCCAGGAAGCGAGGCCAGAAGTCCTTGAAAAGTGGACGGTCAATCTTCTTCAGGCTGTCTTTGGTGCTCGCATCAACACTAACGTACAACTGGGTAACCGGCACCAGGCTCCTGGACATTAGAGAAAACATGGAGGGAGGATAAGAACGATCTGAAAGAGATTCTGCAAGGAAAGATACAACATCTAGAGGGTGTTTGGAAAGAAATATATATATATGCACCTAAAACAAAAGAATACATAATTCTTTATCATTTTTCTAAAGTCTCTGAACTGAACTGTTCCTCTCAAAACTTTGACATGCTCCTAGAAAAACATAAGCACATTTCTGTCAGCTCTCTGAAGCAGGCAGTTGCTCTCCTTCAGTCCAACCATGACTTTAGATCCGCTGCTCAGCCTGACTCTGTATATCTTTGTTTTCCCGTCTCAATTCAGTAGCATACGTGCAACAACGTTAAGTCAAACACTACATGTATTTTTCCTTAAAGCAACAGACGTATTGCATAGGCAGATGCTTGAAAATGAAGGGGTGAGAAAGAAGGAAGCTGTGAAAAACTAAAGAGTGCTTCTCATCAATATTAAATAAGGAAAGACATCAACTTATTTGTGGGTACTCTGGCAAAACCTGTAAGATCAGAGGGACACAGCAGACAAGCAAACAAGACTTGTATGGCTGAAACAAGAAGAGCAGTACTTTACATGGGAGATAAAAATACTTGCTTGGAAAGAGGCAATTATGTAAAGATGCAAGACTAACTAATTAGCCAAATTAACAATGAAAAAGGAAGTCTGGAAATTCAGCTCTTTCTTAAATTTTAATCTTTCTGTCTGTACAGAACTTAACATTTCTCTCTTGTGAAAGCAGTACACTGCAGCAGCTCATCTCCAACTAGGTGGCTCTGGCAGACAGGAAAAATGGCTTATGGCTGGTGTCCTTGCCTTTAGCTTGCTCAGTGAGTATGTGATAAGTGACTCTGTGACAGGCTGCTGGCTTACATATTGGATGTGTCAGTGTATGTCTTGACAACTTGCAAGTGGTTCTGGATTGAGAGGTCAAAGAGCATAACAGAATCCATAAAAACATCTGTGAATTTAGTGGGGACAAGTGACATGCTGCCTCTCCAGTCTAGACAGGGGGTCGGCAACCCGCGGCTCCGGAGCCGCATGCGGGTCTTTCATCCCTCTGCTGCGGCTCCTTGTGGCTTTGAAAGTAAATGAATATTTAATTTAAATGTATTTTTTCAGTTTGTTAGTTTTTAAAATGCAATTCTTAATTTGAAGATTATGGTGAACTTGTAACATTAAAATAAAACGTGTTTAATTTTTTTTTTTTTTGGTTGCTCAAAATATGCGTCACACTCGTCGATGTGCAACACCCGCCGGCACGTGCAGGCCTTGATTATATATATTTATGCACGTAGTGTTGCCAACACGGTGACTTTCTCGCTAAATCTGGTGACTTTCCAAATCCTCTTGGCGACTAGCGACAAATCTAGTGACTCTTTCTGGTGTTACTGGAGACTTTTCTGGTGTTTTGGAGACTCTGATGTGAAAACACGTATCGTTCTGCAGTTACCATCGTCAGCGAGCAGCGGTGCTGCCGTGAGCTCCCAAAGCGCTCACAGGCGGTCAGGAGTCTGGTCAGCAGTCCCAGCTGCAGTCAGCAGGATAGCCAGACAGCATTTTTACTTTGCTGCAGGTGGATAATTTAAGTTTGGCTTTCTATTTCATAAATATGAGGAGGACTCAAATCGGCATTGAGTATTTTATTTGAAAGTAACCTTCAACCCAGCGACTTTTTTTCAGAGTTCAAAATGTTTTTGTTGAATACAGAAATAAAATTTCATTTTCTCTGTAGTCATTAATTTTTACTAATGCAACACACTAAATTTTTTTATACATAGCATTAACGTTAAAACAATATATGCTATCTGTGTTGTCTTCATTTTAGATGTCAAAATGGTTTTGTGGCTCCCAGTGTTCTTTTCTGTGGGAAATGGGTCCAAATGGCTCTTTGAGTGTTGAAGGTTGCCGACCCGTGGTCTAGACGGATAAGAAACAGGCAAACAGCTGCATTTTCACCATTTTTTCCTATTAAGCAGTTGCAAAATGTATCTTCGCTATGGGCGCATGTGGCCAAAAGCAACTAGAACATTAAAAGGCAATGATATTTTCCTTTCTCTATGCAAAAGTGAACTAATTCAGTTCGGAGAAGAACATTATATTTATGTCTAATCTTTTGGAAATCTAAAGTTACTAGAATTGTTCCACACTAACATAATACATTTACACCAAACATGGGTCGCATGCATATGATGCTGATGCTTTTGTTGCATACTGTGACGTCAAACTCCGTCTCCTTCTGTCTACATGCAAACGTATAGACTGAGTTTTTCTAAATGTCCACTTTGGCCGGAGTTTTCAGATATGTTCGTTGTCTGTGAATTGTAGCTTCGTCTATGTGTAAACCAAAGGCCCAAACGCATTGAAGCATCATCGTTGTTGCTGAGGTGGTACTGCCTTATATGGATTTTTCATACAGCTACTATATGTGCAGAAAGTATGTCTAAGAGCAGTGTATACAGCGAACCCTCCATCAAAGAAATATGGATCTTGAATCTTGCAGCTGGGTGAGGATTTGCAGTGCAGAATATCAGAGAAGTCATGCTGGGAACTTGAACTTTTTTGTGGAAAATCTTTAAACAAATTGGGAGATTTATCACTTTTCCCTTCAGTGAAGACCTTTTCTAGAGCCAGGTGGTCATTAGAGAGAATACTGTTTACGCATACAAGAAAGAGTGTCAACATTCAGCAGTTATGGTTATGGGTTGGTTCGCCCCACTAACAGAAAGCAACATCTTATTCATCCTTACTGGAGTTTGGTCATGCAGACTTTTACGGGTTGATTGATAAATGTCCACCTCTGTAATGCAACTCAAGATGACGGATATTTGTGCTGCTCAAACCACTGAAAATTGATATTTGACAAAGTACTAGTTTTATATATTCTTTCACATTCTGAGTACCACAAACAGCACCACTGCGCTGCACCGTCCTTGTTAAAGGGCACACAGCACTCGCAATTGTACAGCTTGAATCTTTGATCTTCCACTGAGGGCACAGTCTAACTGCTAATACACACTCGTGGTCCCTACTTTCCAATTCATCCTCCAGACTTCAAAGAAAAGCACACACACTACCGAAACATAATTATGAGTTATTTTGAGGGTAATAATGAAACGATAACACCCACATAACCAGGATTTGTGTGTCCATTTTGCCCGTACCTGATTTCCTGGGGGAACTGTGCATTGGTCACCAGGAAACTGGAGATGCAGTGGACGTGGAGGAGGCGAATGAAGGCGTTAATTTCGGGGTACATGATTGGCTCTCCCACCAAGGAGAGGGCACAGTGCTTGACTGACAAGCCTTCTTCGTACCTCTCAGGCTTCACTCCAGGAACACCTGAAGGGAGAGAGGGGTCAGTGGCTGAGGAGATGACGGTTTTGAAGTAATTTCCGCCCCATGAAACATAAATCAAATAACAGTTTGAGGTCAGCTTTTGAAATGAGGTCAAACTGAGTAATTACATGCAACCAAACAGGCGAAAAAAAGAGACATGCAGTGCTCATGAAAGATGAGGAGAGGAGAGGATATGCAAAAGGAGAGAATGAGCTAGAGGAGAGGTTTGGGTTAAGCCCTGAGCCCAGTCCCTCTTTGGTTTTGGGCTGTCAAACTATTCAGTTTATCTACCAGCTCTGACACCAGGGTGCAATAGAGCAGAAGGTAAACAGGATAAACTAATGAACTACTAAATAATATAGATATATAAAGAGAGTAACAGCTGACAATTAAAAAAACAAAAAAAACAAACACAATCCAACAATCATCAGTAGAAAAGTCAGAAAATTTTGCTGCAAATTAAACCGATTGTCTTCCTAAAAACTCTCAGTTTCCGTGAGTTATTCCAAAGGAAATGACCAACCAATGTGTTAAAATCAAATCATAAATTTTATATCTAGGACAACCAAAATAAGAAAAATGAACAAAACCGCTTGGGACATGACACTGAAAAAGAGCAGGAGAGATGAAGTGTGTCTTTATGTAAATTTGAGGGTATGTGGAATCTGTGATTTGATCAAGTCTGCTTCGGGGATTTGTTGGGGATGTTTTCTGCCGACAGCATTAGGTATTGTAAAGCTGTATGACATTGCGAGAATGTGCGGTAAAGAGATTAAACAAAGGGTAAAAGCTTAGGGAAACGTTACATACACTGTCACAGGAGTTTAATGTAATACTGTTGTAGCCGCAGCAGATGCCATTTAATCTCACAGCAAATGCAGCGAATCTTAATTAAATAGAACTTTGGACTGTTGCCTTTGTATGGTTTATGAAGCCGACTATAAATTATTGATACGTTTGCATTTTCTATAGCTACAACCACATAAAGTAATTGTTGCTGAGCTACCTTTGAAGGACAACTTATAACAGCTGAAAAGACATCAAAAAGCCAACTGTTCCCCAGGAGAAATAAAACGTTGAAGTCTGTTCATAAAAGTCAGCAGAAGATGGCATGTAACTGAGAGGACAAATGTCTGAAGGCTCATTAAATACATACAGCAGTGTGCATGGGTTTTAGACACTACAATCAAAGTTACGATGTTTTTATTTGAAATAGAAATGAATCATTTCTATTTCTCCATTAATGAGGAAAATGCAGAAAACAGAAAAAAAAAAACCTCTTGGCTACACTTTTTTTTCAAGATAGTTTCAAAGACAGTTCTTCAAGTCTGTCTGTATGTTTGGGAATGTTGTTGTTGTTGTGCTGCACAGACTCTTTTAACTTTACTAATGTGGCCTTATGTAACATTCTTAGACAATGCCTTCCCTCAAGGTTGTTTGGAGAGCCTCTCTCTCGCGCTCTGAAATGAAGCACTCTTGACAAAAATTAAGTCTCCCGGTGAGGCAGCAGGGCTCTGTAGCAAATTGGATAACAATGGTTACCGAATTGAAGTAAAAGCCACAGACTTGGTTCAAAGGAAGATAAATGTTAAAGATGCTCAATGTTTGGATTTGACCTGCATTTTTTTTTTTGTCAAAACTGACACAGGTGAGTCTGAACTATCCCTTAGTGATGCTGCTATAGGCTTAGACTGCTGGGGGACTTCCCATGATGCACTGAGCGCCTCTCTTCCACTCTCCTATTTCTATATATCATCACTGCATGTCTTAACTTTGTGTTCTAACTCTTTCATAGTTTGTGTTTTG